TTTGGAAATCACAGTTAATATGTCCTGGCGTGGTGGAATGAGCCTGTCGTTGATTTTTGAAATATATTATATGTATAGATGTTGGTATAATTTTAAAATTGTTTGTCCTGCCTTTGATGTAAAAAGAATATCAAAATGTTTTGAAAAATAGTCGTGAATTTATTATTGAATTAGGTGGTGCTAGAGGTAAAATTAGCGAGAAAATGGCCAACATAATTTGGTGACTTCCAAACTGCAGTGTTCTTGAATACTAAAAATTTACATCTTTATATACAGTTACCAAGAAATGTGTTTTAAATGGACACCTAAGTTGTTGAATAAAAAAAAGGGGGGAAATATTTAATGAAATTGCTGAACAGACGGAAAAGTGCCAGTTTCTTCAATTTCAATATTTTTCCTTAGCGCCTCATTTCACCACACCAGTGTTTGATTCAGAGCGTCATATTCGAATTTAGTTAAATTAATTTGGTCGTCTTATTCTGAAAAATGGAAGCACTTGCTCCATTTATGAATGGAAATCTTGCTGGGCCCAACAGAGTTAAATCAATCCAATGGGCAATGTGTACTGGATGTAAGGCCCCGCACACACTAACATGAATTCCACTTGTCACACGGGCTAAGTAATATGACGTCACTTGGTCGTGAAGAGAGATGAAAGAGCGGCAATTTCCTCATTTGCATACTGGTAGCCGTGTATTGAGAGGAAGATTTCGTTGTGTCCTTGGGAAAGGCACTTTACACGAATTTTCCTCACTTCACCCAGGTGGAAATGGGTACCCAGCTATAGACAGTGAAAGATCTTGTCAGTTTGATAGTGTTTGAGTGCGTGAAATCCGCAGCTTGCACTGTATGCTTCCCGGGAAGCTGAGAATGTTTCGGAGTGTTCTATGGTCTGCTGGGGTAATAATATAGTGTAAAGCGCATAGAGCTTGCTGTTGAGCGGGGATATGCGCTATACAAATGCTATCTATTATTATTATTATTTTTATTTCCTGGTGAGTGTGGTGCCTAAGACAGAAGTTATATCATTATTCAGATAAAAGTTAGGTCCCAGCCGCCTAGAAGACAAAAGTTCAGAAAAAAACAATCGTAGTGGTTGTGGTTAATATTACCTGCATAGGCAGATTCCTCGTTTAAAAATGTCATCCTTTCAACAAGTTATTAAACATAAAAGTTGAAATTCAAATTAGAAAGAGCCTGCAGCAGCACCCAATAGAGAAAGCTAGACAATGCTTCTATCTATAATTAGAACTATTAATGGTGCTATTCGGTTTTAAAAAGTAACACGTGTGGAAAATTAATCCCATCAACTAACATTATGTATATTATCAAAGAGGCATTGGAATCAGTTATCTAATGTCTTTAGTTATAAAATGTGGACAGTAAAAAGAACACATACAAAGTCAAAGAATATGTGGTTCATTCATCTCATGACTGAAGAGAATGTCACCAAATCAAACAGCTTCACGAGCTTACATCTCAAAGAGGCTGGAGGATAATATGAAGGCAACTAAGACCACACGAAATGTGACTGTTTGGCGTTAAAGATGTCCTCCAATAGAATAAAATCAATAACAGAAGCCACGCATATGGCCATAGTTAAAGCATTGTACCTCCCCTCGACATCTTACGATTCAAGAGGAAGGAAAAAGAAAAAAAAGTACATAAAAGACGATACAGTGTAGTCAATATAATAAATTATGCTCCTTGCATGTCTATTTGTCATTGTATGCTCTTGGCTATGTCTATCCCTTTAGTCATTTCCCTCCCCCCCCTCCCTTTCCACGAACGCCCCGTTAACCTCAGTTTGTATCATGCTGGACGATGGATGGCCCCGGTTTGAATCCCAGCCTGGGAGTTTTTGAACTTGATCTGTTTCGTGTAGTCTTTAAGGGTCTCGGCCCGTTGCGCTTGGTTCTATAGGAGACAGGTAGTTTCGGAGATCACGCTTCTTACAAAAGCTATATGCGATGATAAGGGCATTACCCCCCTTCCCACATACACACGCACACATATACATGTGTATATTATATATATAAGCACAGATAGTTTTTTTTAAATTAACACGAAACACGACAGGAGGTTGTTTGGGGCTATATGTGTGTGTGTGGAGGGGGGGGAGGGGGGGTGTTAAATCAGAATTAAAATGGACGAAGAAATGGACGAGTCAGTTTTCCCCTGATGCATGGGCGAATGTATTTGTATTTGTCTTGTTATTTTCGATAAAAGCTAAAGTGTAATGGATTGAAAAGAACGCAGAAAAACGAAATTTAGGAAACAAGTGTGAGAAAGAGAGAGAGAGAGAGAGAGAGAGAGAGAGAGAGAGAGAGAGAGAGAGAGAGAGAGAGAGAGAGAGAGATTTAAGTGGTTTCTAGAAATGTACGTGAAGTAATCCCCTCAGCGGCAGCGTGGATTCCTTTAGATCTGAAGGCATTCTGAACTTAAGTATCTCTTTTATCTTCGATGAGCCAAAGGTTCTTCCTGTTTACGTTCTTAGTACAAGATATGGGCGAATAGGTGATCTCCCCTGTCTAGACTTTCTTTCCGTTCTTCTTTTTGAACCCTCCTAACATATCCCCCGCCCCACCCCTTTCCTTTTTCACACCCGAAACACTAACCCACCCTCAACTGTAGTAGCTATAAGGTCTTGTAATTTGTCCCAAGTTTCACAGACATAAAATAGTTTTGTTTTTACTATAGATCTAAACAAACAAAATCACTTAAAAACAAATAAAAATTGATAGTTTACTCCCCGACCGGAACAGTTTAAGCCATAATGCTGTGGGATGTTTGGCAATGTCTGTCAAGGACAAAACAGAGCTGTATCAAATACAGCATCCCAGCAAAACTTCCCCAAAGGAGGATTGAACTCACGTCTTTTGCGTGCAACGACCAGTGTCTGTGGTGCTGCGATTATTATATGCGTTTCATCGTCGCACGAAAAATTGGCAATTATTTATTATTTTCTGTTTGTGTTTGAAGTGTCATTAATCTTTGTGAATGGTTAGCAGGTGCTCTGGGGTGGTTTGTTTCTCCCCTCCTATCAACCAACCAACGTCCTTATGATTCTCCTCATTCTTTTTTGTGTTTGTTACTCTCTTGTAACACCGCTAATCTTTGGCACTTATATGACCTTGTCGTATTGCAAGTGCCGTAAAACACTTACTAAAACAATAACATATACATTTATTACTAAGAGAAGACCCAAATTCCATTCCTAAAGTGAAGAGAAATTGTATTGATTAAATCGGACTTTCTGCTGGAATGTTGTACGCCTATCAGCCCTGGTAGGCCCTGACAGGCATGGTCAAAGCCCACCTGGTAAATTTATAAATGTTCATAATCGTTTCAACTTCCATTTTACAACAAAATGTTTTGAAAAATAGTTTCCCTACCCGGGAATTAAACACTCGTCTTTTGTATGCAACAGCAATGGGCGTCTGAAACTTCGAAACCACAGAAGTTGAGTTACAAATTAAAAAAGAAACGTTTGGTTTCCCCAAAGATTTAAAAGGGAAGGCATTAAAGGCTCAAAAACTCACCTAGATCTATCCTTCCATAAACAAGCTCATCTCTTGCGATCTCCTCTGACATCCAGCGACCTTCTCAGTCGCACGCTTCCATCTGTGTCACGCAGGGGTCACGCAGAGATCGTGCAAGCCAAACTTATCTGTCGGGAACTGGGAGTACTCGCTCAGACAGAGGGCAAGTTGAACTCACTCTTCAAACTGTTAGCTGCTGGCCTTTGGCTATCTGGAAAGAATACAAGAACAACAGAAGAGGGATTAGCAATTTGCTGAGAGGTGGGTCGTTTGATGGAGTCTGCCAGCACGATCGAGGAAGCGAGAGATTCCGTTCTGAATATTTTGAAAGAGAATGTTCGCGATACGGCACGATTTCAGATGTAAACAAAAAGCAAACCTGTTTACATTCTGGGCGATTTGTTTGTTCTGGTATGCGGGTTAAACGATTTTTTGAAAACTGAACAGGAGTGAGAGTGAAGTACGGGATATACTTGAAAAAGAAATTGCACGAAACTGTATAGGTAAGCGCTCGTTGCAATGCGTTCTGTTCATTTAAAAGATGGAACCTTCGAATTTTACGTCCATCTCCAATACGAACGAGTCAAATGAGAAATCTACGTAATGATAGTGCCTTTCCAAAACGACAAAATGTCGGACCAATCTGAACCTCCAACCTCCAAACCCCGAAACCCATGCTTCTAAACTTTAGAGTTGGTGTTGTACGAACCCCAATCTCACAACTACAAGTCCGGCGTTAGCCTAAGCATTCGACTATCGACACCAACAGGATATAATAATCTGGAAAATGACCCCACTTTATCTTTTTTATTTCCGTGGTGCTGAGATTAAAGTGAGAAGCATGTTGCGTCCACCTTGACATGGTATGGGTTGAATGCCCGTTTAATGACTACATGGTTATTTACAAGGTGTGACTCTTTAAGGACTCTATAATGTACATTTTACTTTATTATTACATGTATTCTAATAGTAATTCGTACTGTTGTCAATAAATATTCAGTACTTGTCTGGATTGTGAGAATAATATTATTTTGTATGACCACTCAATGACATTTTCTCTGTGTGTGTGTG